ATTAGAATCTGCCGAGAAGTTGCCAGCTGAAACGATTCAAGTCTAAACTGCAAAATAAGCAGATGTCAGATTAGATGCGGCCAAGGAACATCTCTGTGAAGTTTTAGCTTCCTAGCTTGCGCGTTTTCGAGAGCGTCTTCCCGGAAATCCGCGCTTCTCAATTACACATACCACCCCAACCATTTGTTGATCCTAGCAATATTCAAATGGGTTGAAACAGGTCACGTGGGTGATAAAGCGAAACTGCAAGGCGAACGGATGAAAAGAGGAATTACGAAAAAAAACGACAAATAGAAAAAGTGATATTTTATCAGCTTTCAAGACAATTTTGTGTCTCAAATCTGCGAATTTCTTCAGGATAAAGATCTGTAAAAACTGACTAACTTCCCAGAAGTGTAATTGAAAAAGTTATGAGTGCCTTTGTACATTGCAAGCACATCATTCAAATCAGCAATCGAGATTTCGCTGATGCGATATTTACTGGTTGTTAACTAAAAAAAACATATCTGTCATATAGGGTAACATATTAAACTGCTAAAAACAACAATTAAACAAGTTGTTTTTTTTTTCTTCACATGGCCTCATTAACCACTTTTTTTTCAAGCACTTCGTCAAATATCGCCAATATTTCTTCAGTTCACTTCCTTGTTTTGCATTCTTTTTGTCATAAGAAGGGAGAAAAACAAATGAAAAAAATAAAAATGAGGAAAAAAACAGAAAAAAGAGAAAAAAATCATACCTCATCTGGTCTAGCAAAGGCAAATGTTGGCAAAGTATATGAATACGTTCGTTTATCACAATCCCTGTGTGCCGTAAAAGTACGAATTGCACGTCTAAAAAAACCAAAAATATTAGCAATATTTTCCTCAAATGCCAACTGAGTACAAATCAAACGAATTTTAGATGTCAACAGGTTGCAGCGCTTAACCATCGACGAATTCTGGACAAATTCTGGTGTAAAATACATCGCAAAATAGATGTATGTCATGAAAAGAAGGACAATGAAAAAAAGAGA